TAAGACGTCACAGGATAAATGGTGCTGATGGAACCAATGTCAGTTTTAAAGTTAACTGTCGATTGCTGAGTGGAGATATGGAACATTTCCAGGAACAAGCGTTTATGATAGTTATCTTCTTTGTCTAATATAGTTGTTTTATCAAACCTAAAATGATGACCATTATTGATACTATGTTGTGCTAAAGCACAACATATGGGGTTGTGCTTTAGCACAACATAGTATCAATAAGTTCTTGACATCACTTTTGTGTTTACTCAATCTCCTCTTCAACCATTGGCAGGTTTGGTCTATGTACGTACAATTGCAGCTACCACATGGGACACAATAGATGATATTCGACTGATAATCCGTGGGTATCTTATTTTTCAAATTGGAGAAGACAGAAATTAACTTAAAAGGATAGTGTTCTATTATTTTCAGATTTTGATCAACTTGATAATTTCTAAAAACTTTCATCAGCTTATCCGTTAATTGTGGTATGTAAGTGATTTTCATGTATGTGAGATTTAAAGAATCCTGCGATTATTTTTAGGAGTTACATTGAATAATAATTTGTTCAACAATTTGATTGGGTATGAATTATCTAAAAAGATATTCTTTAACGCTTTTAAGTTGGTCTGGATAAATTGTGATTCTGAAATATTAATTATTCTATGTTTCATATTTAAAACTGCATTAATTTTATGTTTCACCTTGTGAAATGAGTTGAAGTGAATATATCTGCCTGAAAAAGTCGGCTTGTTGTACCAATCAAACATTAATTGTAATTATTACCTTAGTTTCCAAGAAAGGGACAAAGTTGTTTTTTTCACATTCAATAGTAAATTTTATGTGATTATTGAAATTATTGAAAATGTCCAAAACCCTATCCTCAGAACCATGTGGTATAGATAAAATAATGTCATCGACATATTTTTTAATGAATGGTAACTCAAATTCCAATGTAGGAATTATTTTCTGTAAAGTGTAATCCATAACTATTTGTGCTAAAATGGGTGAATTGTTTTTAAATTAATCTAACTTTGATTTTGTATGCAGTTGTAACCTCACCCTTGAGGAAGCTTTAATATAAAGCGAAATATTGGTGAAATAAGAAAACAACTTTTTCCACGTATATAACGGGATCGAACAAATTCTCCTGCTTCAATCTCTTTTAAAGACCAGCAGTAATCTGCCATCATATGACAATCCCATCGACACTGATATCTTTCCTCCATCACTTTTAGATCCTGGTGGAACCGCTCTCCCTGTTCCTCACTATAATTTCCTAAATTATCCGAAAATTTATTAAAGATGATTGCGGACTCATATTTGCTCCTAGAGTCTGAGTTTTTCAGTATATTTTGTACAATTTCTTCATAATTTGGTGCTTTATGGTTACCTAGGAAATTCGACTACCAACACATAACTTTTCCCAGCTTTACTTTCCGGAACAGTCACAACTTCAATAAAATCTGTGTCTTTCATCAATTGACGTATTTGAGGACAATCAAATATTCCACCTTTCAACTTTTCCACACTAATAATAAAAAAAAGGCATCGATGAATGAAATTTATTAATTTCTTACAATGTTTAAATCAGTGCTATACGTATTTCGAGTTATAAGCTCTTCATCAGGCACGACTATAAGAGACGGTTATGTTAATTAAGTTATATAAGAAATTAATTAATATTTCCTCTACTCAAAAGTGAGTTAACACATGACAACTTATCCAGATTCACGTGTAAGTACTTCAATATTGTTAAATAACTGAGATCTCAGCTGTTCTGCGGAGTAAGGGGTCTGAGAGTGGGGATCACGTGATGTATGTATGCGCGAAAAAGTTGCGCAGAAGCCTAATCATGATTGGGAAAATAAATTTTATTACTAACAAGCTGATAATTGATCAAAACATAAGAGATGTAAAAATTATAAAAAACAAGAGCACATTAATGCTCGTTTGCACCGTAATACATAAGCATTGCTTAAAGGCTAAGTAATGCTTAAGTAGTGAATTTGCGTTGCACCGTCAAGTAACCCGTTCTCAAAATCAATAAGACGTTCTCAAATATAAGTATTTGAAATCCAGTGCTTAAGTTGTTCTCAAGCGCATACGTCAAATAGACATAACCGCACATAACCTATACGTTAAAAAAGTAATAAAATAAAATAATGGATCTGCAAATTTTCGACGACGATTTAGATGTTTTGGAAATAATTGATTTTGGTTTTCCAAAATTAATATACACAAGATCCAATTATTTCCACGAAATGGACGAATATAATTTTTTTAAAAGATTTCGTCTAACAAAACAAAGTTGTTTGTATGTTCTACGACAAATACAAGAAATTATAGAATTTCCGTCTAATAAGTAAGTAGTATACATTATTTTAAATTATACTTTTATAGGCTGAATTTAGATTATTTTAATACTACTTGTTTTGTACAGAAACAACTGTGTGTCTCCAATGAACCAGTTGCTAACAACCCTTAGATTTTACGCTTCTGCTAGCCATTTAACTATTGTAGCTGATTTTACCGGGATGCATACTTCAACAGCTAGTAGAATTATATCGCGGGTATCGCGTGCAATTGCTATGCTGAGACCGCAATACATAAAAATGCCAAGTAATACCGAAGAAATTCTAGCAGTACAAAACCAGTTTTATGGAATAGCTGCATTTCCCAGGATTATAGGTGCCATTGATTGCACGCACATAAAAATTCAGTCTCCTGGTGGCGAAGATGCAGAAGTGTACAGGAACCGAAAAGGCTACTTTTCTTTTAATGTACAAGTTATTGTAAATGCAAATTTGGAAGCCATGGATATTGTGGCAAGGTGGCCAGGATCTGTTCACGATTCAACTATATTTAATAATAGTCGGATTAGAGCACGGTTAGAAAACGGAGATTTCCAAAATGGCATATTATTAGGTATGATGTTACTGATACTTAACGTAAAATAGTACATATTACTATTTGATTACAAATGATTAATGATAAGGTTCTTTTAGGCGACAGCGGATATCCTCTGCGAGAGTATTTTCTAACTCCATTGGCAGAGTATAATTGAGCAGAGTGTAATTTGTAAATTTGAAGTGCGTTTTATCTTTCTCCAAAATATGTTTATGTAAATGAAATTTCTAAATATTAATTTATCTTTAAAAGGTTCACCTCTTGCGACATTTTTTATAAACGTCCTTATAACTCACAATATAACTCAACACTCTTCGAATAGCTTCGTCAACAAGCAA